TTTATCTGACAGAGGGCTAATATCCAGTATATATAAAGAACTAAAGAAGCAGAAAAGCAACAAACCAAGTAATCCACTTAAAAAATGGGGAACAGAGCTAAACAGAGAATTCTCGAAAGAGGAACATCGAATGGCAGAGAAACACTTAAAGAAATGCTCAACCTCATTAGCCATTAGGGAAATGCAAATCAAAACAACCCTGAGATTTCACCTTACACCCATCAGAATGGCCAAGATGAAAAACTCAAGTGATAGCACATGCTGGAGAGGTTGTGGAGAAAAGGGAACCCTCCTCCATTGCTGGTGGGAATGTAAACTGGTTCAACCACTTTGGAAGTCAATCTGGCGCTTTCTCAGACAACTAGGCGTAGTGCTACCTCAAGACCCAGCTATACCACTCCTAGGTATATACCCAAAATTTGCTCAAGTACACAACAAGGACATTTGTTCAACCATGTTCGTAGCAGCTTTATTTGTAATAGCCAGAACTTGGAAACAACCCAGATGTCCATCAAAGGAGGAATGGATACAGAAATTGTGGCATTTTTACACAATGGACTACTACTCAGCAATCAAAAAGGAGGAAATCATGAAATTTGCAGGCAAGTGGTGGGATCTAGAAAAGATCATTCTGAGTGAAGTATCCCAGAACGAGAAAAACAAACTTGGTATATACTCGCTTATATAGACCTATAAGATATGATAAACATAATGAAATCTACACACCTAAAGAAGATAATCAAGAAAGTGGACACAGGCGAAGGTGATTAATCCTCATTGAGAAAGACAAATGTGATGTGTATTGAACGTATGACAGGAGTCTACCACAAAAGGCATCTGAAAGACTCTACCTAGCAGTGTTTCAAAGCAGACACGAAGACTCATAACCAAACCCTCGGCAGAATGCAGGGAATCATATGAAAGAAGGGAAGTTAGTATGATATGGAAAGGATAGGAGCTCTACAAGGACCAAATATATCCGGGCACAGGGTCTTTTCTGAGACTGACACTCAACCAAGGACCATCTATGGATATAACCTAGAACTTCGGCTCGGATGTGGCCCGTGGTAGCTCAGTAACCAAGTAGTTTTCCAAAGTAAGGGGAACACGGACTATTTCTAACAGGATCTCAAGGGCAGGCTGTTTGACCCCCCCCCCCCCCCCCCCCCGGGGAGGAGCAGTCTGTTAGGCCACAGAGGAGGACTTTGCAGCCAGCCCTGAAGATACCTGAAAAAACAGGGTCAAATGAAAGGGGAGGAGGTCCTCCCCTATCAGTAGACTTGGAAAAGGGCAGGGAGGAGACCAGGGAGGGAGTGCGGGGTTGGGGAGGGAATGAGGGAGCGGGATACAGCTGGGACACAGAGTTAACAAAATGTAACTAAAAAGAAAAATAAAATAAAAAACAAACAAACAAACAAAAAAAACAAAATAAAAAAAGAAATATCTATAAAGAACGATAAGAATATTTTAATTTCATTTAAATAAAGTAATAATACAACACTTACTAATAACACAAAATAACTGAAGAAATAAAATTTTAAAAGTAGGAAGAAATCAATTTTCTTTTTTCTACTTTATAGTTTGTATTTTAAGTGTTCTGATATTAATAAGAAATATTACACCTCTAAACCATTTTATAATAATGATATTTCCATTTATATAGCTATCATAAAGGAGGATTTAATTTCGTATGTATTTGCAAACAAGAAAACAGTGTTATGTTGCTTATAATAATTGGAGAAATGACAAATAAAAACAAAAATTGAAAGGAAAAAAAAAAAAAAGAAAAGATACCTGGAAAGGTTTTTGTTGAGAAGCACTCTGCAAAACATGCTTGCAAGATTAGATTTGTCATCTTTAGAAAAATTTCCCTCGTTAGGTTTGCTCTGGGACCAATGTATATTCTGAAAATTCTAGAAAACGTATTTACTGTTGTCACTATAATACAAGCTTTTCAGTTTGGTCCAAACTGTTAAGGGCCTGAAATTTTACATCATATTCAAGGCAAGTTAGCCTGTATGGTTTTATAGACTCTGTCAGAGAGAAAAAGACCTCCCATTACTCTGAAGCAAAAGTTCTATTCTAAGTTCCACAAGTGACAATGTCTAGAAGTCTCAGCAGACACTGCTAAACAGTAAATGTTTTACATTTGAGGAATCTCAAGCTCAGACAACCTTCTGCCATAAGACAGGTGGAAGCTGTCAGCGAAAATGTCTAACCTCTAGCCACAGAGACATTATCTCCATTTTCATGATCACTGGGCAAATTCCCCTTTTCCTTTGCATAAAATTTTGTCTCTATCTTTCCTACCTATTTGAAAAACAGTCTGGAATAAAAGTCATCAGAAGATAAGTAGAAATGCTGAGAGATTCAACATCAAAACAGTGAGTTTGGAAATAATCATTATGCAGATGGACAAAAACGTGGTACTGTGTTCTCAGAATACAGTTTAAAGAAGTCATCCTTTTTTAATAAAGATAAAGTGAATAAAGAAGGATGATAACATTTTGAAGTTTCTTATATCTAAGTATCTAAGTATGTTAAGGTCGAAAGCACTGTTCTGAGTTGTTGATGATCTGTACTCTGATTTGTTCACACCAGTAAATGAAATGACACATGAAATGAGTTTTTATCTTTTGTAATACACACACACATATATATATGTATATGAAGTCTATTTGTACATATTTCAACCCATCAATTTGAATAAGTTCTAAATCCACAGTAAAGTCATAATTCTCAACTTGGTAGAATAGATGTTATATATCATTGGATAAACTTTCTTAGGGCAGTGACTTTTTTTTCCTCTTTTGAAAGTGGTTTTCTTTTCGACTTTACTTGTTTCTTGTATACCAACAGGAAAAAAACACCTTTACATAATATGCTTTTGTGTAAAGTTTATATGATGTACTTGGAAAAATAAACAACACCTGATGCTGAGTAATTGTCTGCAAGAAACTCCTGGAAATAGAGGGACTCGCAATTATTCAAAGCACAGAGTGCTTTCCCAGATGATGATGAACGTAATCACAAAACAAAATATCATTGTCACCATTTCGTACCTTTACAGTGTGACTCCTTCTTTGGACCTGGATTAGCCTGTATAATATGTGACTGACATAATGGAGCCTCTTCTGTTTCTGGAATGCTGCTTCTCATGGGAGGGGTGTCATCTTTTAAAATACTTAAATTTTAAACATAGGTGAGATTCAAAGATAAGTGTCAGCTCTCAGAAACCAAGCTGCTTAGAAGGGTGATTGGTGAAAGAAGCCACGTAGCAGTAAGTCACTGTGTACCCGGTCCTCTGAGTCAGTCACTGTATACCCGTGCCTCTTGAAACATGACTCCAAAGCAACCTGGCTGTGCTTTGCAAGATATAACTGAAAGCCTGGCTTTTTTTTTTTTTTTTTTTTTTTTGAGGCCTCAGAAAACCAAATTTTTAAACAGGAATTCTCATTTTTGACATTGACTAACTTAAATAAAGGGAACTATCTAATATTTAGCTTGATAATCAAAGTGCATCTGTAGACATGGTCTACTTAGATCACAGGAATAATGAAAAGTCAAGAGGAAACATCAGAGGCACACATACACACACACAAAAGCCTTACTTGCATAGACTTATTTAAAACAAATGTGATGATATGCTATAATTACATAAATCATAAATACATGCATAAAGTCAATACTGAATACTTTATAAGAATATAAACAAGATGAAAAATATATTCAGTAACTACTTAAAACAATTGCTTCCTGGATGGCAAACAAGATGGCCAGGATAGAAAGAAATAAATAAAATTAACTAAAAAGGGGGATGGGTGGGTTTCAGGCCACTGATGATAAAGAGCCAGGGCTTAAGTTGTGTATCAGACTAAAACTTCTGTGAACAAGTTTATAAATCAAAAGGAAAAAATAAATTTTAATTATCAGTGCAATGTGTGCCCTCCTGTGAATTGATTCTATGCATCAAAACTGAAAAGGGAAGCTGAGAAAAGATAATGATAAAGAAATCGTTTTTAAAATAATACTAGTATCATAGAAATCGTGAAAAACATTGCAATGGTTTGCTTTGCTCTCAGCAAAGTGCTTGACACTTTTGACAAAGTGGGAGAAGTATTTTATCTGTTTTTCTCTTTAAGAAAGAAACCAACAAACGAGATAGCATGACAAATTCTTCAAATCCATGTTGGAGCTGGAAAGGTTAGACAGTTTTGCTTTGTAAGGCAGTACTGAGACAATAGCTCCTATAGCTATGGCTGGCTGCAAACTCACTCGATAGCCCTCCAAAGCTTCAGTGTGTCTATGGCTTGTTATCACCGAGTGTTGCATTTAACAGTCTTCGACCCTTTCGTACTTTACTGTGGCGCAAACATTACAGAGAGGCAGGATCATTCTGATTTCTGTGTGTGGTGGTAAAAATGAGGAAAGGAACTCAAGGAACTCGAGGAGTTGCTTGTCTTGGAACCACAGGTAGTCTGGTTCACCAACAGAATTAGATGGCAGAGAGTTTTCAGCACATGATGGTGAGGAGTAGGTTCTTGGTCAGTGTTTTACAGCATGTCCTAATGCTGCGAGTGGCCTTTCAATACAGTTCCTCAGGCTGTGGTGACCCCTCAACCACAAAATTATTTTGTTTCTATATCATAACTGCAATTTTTCTGCTGTTTTGAATTGTAGTGTAAGTATCTTACATGCAGGATATCTGGTATGTGACCCAAAGGGGTCGCGACTCACAGGCCGAGAACCACTGTTGTAGGGTGACTTGCTCTGCAGGGCTGAGGCGAAAGGAACCACCAGAATGATTAAGCATGAAGGGAAGGCTCATAGATCAGTTTCTTAATCACAGAAACAATTATCTGAAGAAAATAAGGCTTTATTCATCTTTTCAGAAAGTAGAACAAAAATGGGAATAAATCGAATTGCAGAAGAAAATGAAATGGTTTGTAGAGAAGCTTCTAAATGCACTTGTCCTGATGATACATTATCTTTAATTTCAGATATACTGGCCTAGTACTGCAGTGAAAGTAGAAGAATGCATAATGAAAGGAAAAGACGCAGTAAGTACCATTCACTGTAGATTAAACAAAGCATAGATTCCATTCTTGGTTGCCTAGAAACGACTGTATCACCAAAGGTTTGTTTTCTTTTCAAAGATATGCATGCAATTTTGTTCATAAAAGGGGTAAATACACAATAAACACATTATTCTACCAAAGTGACTTTGCTGTGGAGTTGAAAGAAAATAGGTGCCATCCTGACTAGAGCATGTCTTAAAAAAATAAATAAATAAATAAATAGATAGATAAATAAATAAACAGATAAACAGGTAAATAAATAAATAAAAATACATGCCCTCTCAGGCCCAAAGTGATCACTGGATTCTCTAGAACTCATAATAGCTGAGCCATCTCTCCAGCCCCCAGAAGAACCGTTATTCTATTTTGAAAAGCTTGGATTTATAAATTCCTTATACTGCCTTCTGATTATTATAAATAAAATAAAATAAATCAGATTCTTCCAGAGGTTTTGTTTCACTTTGATTAAATAATTAGAAATGCAGAAACAACATGAAATTACAAAGTGTGAGCAGGTGAAGAGGAACAGGGCTGGACTCATTTCCCAATGCGTCTTGGCTTCTCCCTGGTGTTAGAAGCAAAGTCTGTCCCATTTCAATGCAGTGTAGGAGTGGGAGGTGCTCATCTCAGCGCCTTTCTCCAGAGTCTAGGAGACGTGGCTAAGCGACCTTCACTTACAAGGAGTGCTCCTCCATCCCTGAGGGAAGACATGCTTGGAGAGAGGCCGTCGGTGTTTCCTTGAAAGCAAACTTATCTTCTTTTTCTATGAAGCTAGAAATATGTAAATGACTCACGCATTATTAATAACTTCTAATTCTCTGTTGCAACTGGAGCGTAGCCAAGGAGGAGTGAGTCAACATTCTTGCTGCTTTAGTCCGAACTGCGATGCTGAGAATTGCACACAGTCTCAGCGCACATCAATCTATGTTCAACAGAGCAAAAATATGGTCTAATTGGTTCTGTCTGAGAAGTGACAGCATGTCAATAGAGGAAAAAGCAAATGCTTCCAGCCATGAGAGGACAGAAGACTTTCACCTTGTCTGCGTGGTCAGATTCTAGTAACTGTAGGGTCACACACAGTAAAATGTTATGCACGTGGGAAGTTGGATGAATGTATCTGAGTCCTCTGGGCAAAGTACTGAGTAATGCAATTCTCACTACTACCAAGGGCCTCAGCATCCTCTAAGGTGTGTGTGGCAAAGTCAACTTGCTGACATTTCCATCCGAGTAGGCTTGCAAGGGAGACTCAAGGTGGGGAAGTCTTGATCTGTTCATTTTATCATTGTTGTGTATATTTATTTCAAGATTATCCTTGGGACTAAAGAGGTTTGTGTGTGTGTGAGTGTGTGTGTGTGTGTGTGTGTGTGTGTGTGTGTGTGTGTGATGGGTATGAAGGAGATGAGGCTGCCTGATAGCTGGGTGAGACAGGGGCAATGACAGCGCTTGATAAACTGTGTGTGTCTGTGTGCCATCAATCAATGAAAAACTAGGCCATGAATTTGAAAGAGAGCAAGGAGTTATGTATGGAAGGCTTTGGGGAAAAGAAAAGGAAAAGAGAAATGATGTAATTATATTATAATATCAAACATAAAATAAAATAAAATAAAATAAAATAATGCTGTGGCAAAAGAGCAGATACTGGCTTTCTGGGAAGAGAATGACTTGCAGGGGTGAACAAGTGGTCAAAAAGGATGAGCTACAGTGTCAAAAGGCAGAGCTACAGTGTCAATAGAGAAAAAGCAAGTGCTTCCAGGAATAGGAGTTGAAAAAATTTTCACCATGTCCACAGATTCTACTATGATCTTAAAAATTTTATAAAGAAACCCATCATTTTGTTCAAAGGACTAAAGTAATTTTAAAAATAAGATATAATATTAATTATTACAAGTTATTAGCATTTCTGGTAAGTTTTCCCATTTTCAGAAGGCATGCATTAATGAAAAAAAAAAGAATTAATGAGAAGTTGTAGAACAAATAATGACACTAAAGTTCTTCATGTCAGGCTTGTTGTTTGACTTGTGAGCAAGTTCAACAATGAATGAGTAACTAGGGGACCTAGATGGAGACTGAGCTGCCTATGGGCTACATCTGAGCAGGATGTCTAGATCCTCTCCATCCATGGTCCTTGGTTGATGCAACATTCTCTGCAGGCCCCTCTGGGCCCAGATAATTTGTCTTTGTTGATCTCCTTGTAGATCTGTCCCCTCTGGATCCTTCCATCCCTCCCACCCTCTTCTTCCATAAGACTCCCTGTGCTCTGCCCAAAGTTTGGCTGTGAGTCTCTACATCTGCTTTGACCCCCTTCTGGGAGAGGTCTTTCAGAAGATATCTGTGATAGACTCCCATCCTTTACCTCTCTTCCACTGTCTATCCTGTTTGCCCTTCTGAATGAGAATTAAGCATCTTCCCTAGAGTCCTCCTTGTTTAGCTTCCTTAGGTCTGTAGGTTTTAGTATGTTTATCCTACATTATATAGCTAATATCTGCTTATAAGTGATAATATAGCTTCTGAGTTACCTCACTCAGGATAATATTTTCTAGTTCCATCTATTTGCCTGCAAATTTCATGATTTCTTTGTTTTTAATAGTATTATTTAGTATTCCATTGTTTTTATTCACCACAATTTCTGTAACCATTCTTTGGTTGAGAGAAATCTAGGTTGTTTCCAGATTCTGGTTATTACATATAAAGCTACTATGAACATGGTTGAGCAAATGTCCTTGTTGTATGGTAGAGCATCTTTTGGGTATATGCCCAGGAGTGGTATCGCTGGGTCTTTCTATAGGGCTATTCCCAGTTTTCTGAGAAAGCACCAGATTGATTCCCAAAGTGGTTGTACAACTTTACATTCCCACCAGCAATGGAGGAATGTTTTCTTTCTCCATATCCTCTCCAGGATGTGTGTTCACTTGAATTTTTGATCATAACCATCCTGATGGGTGTAAGATGGAATCTCAGTAGTCTCTGACATGAACTATGTTATCTGCTCTTTGATTACTTCTCCCTGGCAGGGTGGACTTACCAGGTCACAAGCGGAAGAGGGTCCAGGCAGTCCTGGTGAGATTTGATAGGCTAGAGTCAGACAGTAGGGTAGAACGACTCCTTTTCAGTAGACCAGTGGAGAGGGTTGCAGGGATGAAAGGAGGTCAAGTAGGACCAGAAGGAGATGAGGGAGGGGGCTGCAATCTGGATATGAAGTAAATAAACTGTAAAAAAAAAAAAAAGTAAAAATTAAAATATATACATATAAAGGAAAAAAGAATAAGTTACATATTTTTCTCAGTAAACTTGAATTTATAACTAGTGTTGCTCAACTAGAACTCTGAGGAAGATGGCCTGTTCCCTTCTCTTGTGAACACAGTTTATGGATGCAATGCACACACACACACACACACACACACACACACACACCCCGGCTCCATCACCTGTGGCTTCTTTTATCCTATTGCTGCTGACCTGAGGAGCTGCACCAGTTGGCACACAAATTCAATTATGCTTACATATCACCTTTATAGACAAAGTGGTTGATCCTTGAATTATAGCATTTCTCAGAAACAAGAACGTCAGAGTAATTTTACAATGGAATGTTACTTCCAGTGGTTGGTTACATATATTTTTTTTAAAAAAATCTTCCCAAAATTACATTTTACATGAATTTAACATTTTGAGGTTAAAAGTACTATTTTGCCCGTGAAAAGTCTATAGTGCCAATGAAGACCTCTGTATCTGAGAATGTAGTTTCCAGCCTTTTAAACAATAAATGTTAGGTATTCTGCATTAATGCTCACTTCAGGGGAGTATGGTATTGTGGTACAGTCTCTGTCAGAATTACTTTTGCCAGTTAAAAAATTTAAAATGATTATACTATATCATATCATGTATTTTCTTAAGAATAATGATTTCTATCAAAGGCAGGTTAAACATTTGTTTCCCTCTAACGCCTATGTCCTCTGTGTCTCCGCCTTAGAGTGAGTGTGCCAATTACGTCCGGGTTTTGCACCACTACAACAGGACACACCTTCTGACCTGCGCCACAGGGGCCTTTGACCCACTCTGCGCCTTCATCAGGGTGGGCTACCATTCGGAGGTAAGAGCTACCTTCTAAAAGAAAGATTGTGTTGTCTTTTCCTCAAGAAAGATGAAAGCATCGAGTTGTATTTATTGAATGTATTTGCTACAGAGGACTGAGCTCTCAGCGTCTTTAACATCCTTTCAGCTGACAATCTGTGAACTAATTAACCTTCGGGGTAGGTGTATTTATTCACCAAACAATTTTATCTGCTCAATTTGTCTTGCTTGAAACAGACTTTGCAACATCAAAACATGTTATCTACAGTGCTCTTACATATATTTTACTAATGAACTCACTAAACGAGTATATATTTATATGTTTGTGTCGGTGCATATGGATTTAGAAACAGATACGCATAAACAAAGAGAGATACAATGTATATAAATAAAATGGGCATACTTTACAAATAACACATAAGGCTTTTTGATTTTATAGTTATGTTCTTTCCAGCCAGGTGAGGTGAGAAATACAGCAAAGGGAAAGATTTCAACGTAATAGAAGTTAAACCTCAGCGTGAGAAAGCCGTGCATCTGATTCCCTGAGGTGCCTACACTAGGCAATCGGGTACTGTGTAGCAATGACTGCATGTCTCACTGCCACTTTTAACAAGGAGGTTCCTGGTTCCGGCAGCCGAGTGAGCTCTCCTTTATCTTGCTCATATTTTGTAATATGTTTAATCACAATTCCCTTAGTAATAAGCAAAACAGTATTCTGATATTATCAAGTCCTGCCTTTCATGCATATGAGAAGGCTTAATTGAATATATATTGAATATATATTCCTTGATTTTGTCAATGCTTATTCATACACATTTTTCATATGCATTTGTATATATATATATATATATATCATATAGCTAAGGCATTTAATACATCTAATTTATGAGAGTGCAGTGGTGATTATAAAATGCATCTTACAATCATATAATAATACCATTTATTTATACTAATGCTGCTTTCAGATGGTACTTGCACTAGTTAATACTCATGTACAAATGCAACTAACAACATCAAAGTACTTAATAGCTGCCTCCAGAGACTAGCCCCTGATTGAGATACTTTAGCTGTTAACTATCCCTGTGGGAAGAAGTTTTAATTAGCATGTTTTAAATATTCGCTTGTCACCTATAGTTGTAAATTAAACATAAGTATTACACACAAACACATCTCAATTTACTGCTTAAAATAGCTTAGAGAAAGGACATAGCTCACAGGGAGTCATTATGGGATGTGTTTGCAAATATTTGACTAGGTGATATGGAAAATAGCAGGAAATGATGGTGGGGAAACCTGATGGATGAGCTTGAAAATTTTCTGAAGTGAGAATATGGAAGACTGAGAAGATGGAATTTTGAGCAGAGTGCTTGGAAGACCTGACCTTACTTTGGGTTAATTCAAGCAGGAAAGGACGAAGAGCAGAGAGACATTTGAGGGGCCTATTACGGGCATGCTGAGAGAGCACAGGGTGTTTTACGGCAGTAGCAGAGAAGTGTGACGTGAGAAGCTGTTCAGCAGAAGACAGTATGCAACAATTTTCTATTATATGTGGCAGATAAATGGGAATTAATGGCCATTCCAGCTGTATTTCTTGTTCATTGGGGAGAGCTGAATCATTTAACATAGAGACACTCAACTATTCAAACAGTAGATTTCTCTGAGGACATCACAGGTGCTCAGAATTTCTTAGTGTTTTTGTCCTCATTCTCACTTACAGTCATATGAAAAATCGAGTTTGGCCAAAATGGATTTATTACCCAGATTTAATTATTGAATTCTCTAGAGAGGAATGATGGTTGTCCCCGAATCTCCACTGTGCATTTTCCATTTTATTTCATCTCTCACTTGTAGAATGTCTCAGGTATATCTATGGAAACAGAGTGAGGGGAGATTTGGTATAATTAGGTTGGTTTAAATTCATATTCACATAGGAGAAATGGAGAGTGAGATGAAACTGGTAGGCAAATCTCACCAATCAATACTATACAGGGAGGGCAATTTGGGTTACAGAAAGCCAAATGTGGCTGAGATAGTGAAAACAGGGACAGCACATTTTGGAAGCAGATAGAGGACATAAGCCCTCAGAGGTCAGTAGAAAGAGGGAATAGGAAGGTTGGCAGAAAACCAGAAGAGTGAAGTGGGAAGAATGATGAAGCAGCATGTCTAATGCTTCGCAGTTGTGCCACACCCAATATACAAGGAGTGACGTAGAGATGTGCAAGAATGATGTCATCTCACTGCAGTGTGCACATGAACTCTGGCCCACTAGAACAAGACTGAAGCCATTCAAGAGCCATACTCTTTTTTTCAAATTACAATTTATTCACTTAGTATCCGGGTTGTAGCCTCGTCCTTCATCTCCTTTCAGTCCCACCCTTCCTCTCTCTTCTCCCTCTATGCCCTTGCCCCAGTCCTCCTAGAGGGGAGATTCTCCTCCACTTCTATCTGAGCCTTGCCTATCAGGTCTCAATAGGACTGGTTGCATTGTCTTACTCTGTGGCCTGGCAAGACTGCACCCTGCAGCGGGAGGTGATCAAAGAGTAGGCCACTAGTTTCATGCCACTGGCATGACAGTCCCCGCTCTCCTTTCTAGGGAACCCACTTGGAGACTGAGTCTAGGGCTACATCTATCTTAGCAGGGGTTTTAGGTCCTCTCCATGCATCGACCTTGGTTGGGTATCAGTCTCTTCTGCAAAGACCCTGGGCCCAGAATTTTTGAAGAACCATACTCTTGACTCACTTTTATTTCTTTCCTTGTTTTTTTTTTTCTTTTCACTTTTCAATTAATACATTATAAAGTACAAGAAGTACAAAAAACATAAATATTGAATTACTTGGGATTGAAGAGATAGCTTAGTGGTGATGATCAGTGGCTGTTCTTCTAGAGAACCTAGGTTCAATTACAGGTTGTGATTAACAGCCACCTCTAGTTTCAGGGAATGCAAAGATTTTTCCTGGCTGTCAGACATGGGCACTGTGTACAGACATACATGTAGACAAAATATCTATACACATAAAATAATAAGACTTTTAAAAAACTCTTTAAAATTATATTACTGTCTTTTTTTTCAAATGAACTGGTAGCTAATACTCTAAACTTTTTTATCTCCTTTCCCTCAAAAGGTGTAATATTTCCTCCTTAGTGCCTTTGTGTTCTCTCTTCATTTATTTTATTTTTTTCTGTTAGTACTTTTTTGACTTATGTTTCTTTTACAATGATTTTTTTCACTCTATCTGTATTCTGTCATGCTGGATCTTGCTGAATTTATAATTTTGTTCCACGTTGATTTTTATCCTACTGACATTTTTCTAATTTCAGCTTCTATGCAAACAGTGCATTATATTTTTATGCATTTGTGCTGTCTTTTTATTGCCTTCCATTGTCTATGTCTATGTTTCATGCTTTTTTTTTTTTTTTTGAGTACTGCAATGGATTCAGCTAGAACCTTTTGCTGTTTCTCCTTTAGTATACAGTTTGCTTTGCTGAAGGGCAGTAGGGCTCGAAGTAGAGATCCACCTTCACAATGCAATAGTCACCACTGCTTTCTTTTGTGAATGTTCCAATTTGTGGCCATTCATGTGTGTAAGTAACGGTTCCCCTGGCTCTGATTCCTGCTCTTTTTATCTGAGTATTACCCTTTCCATAACTTTCTATATATGCCTTTTTTGGACAAGTTCTTTTCAACTTTCAGAAGCAGCTTCTTGGAGCCATATAGACCTTGTAATTTGGAGGCTCATGTGTCTGCATCCAACCCCAAAAGCCCTTGCGATTCAGCAAGCTGCTGAGAGTTTCAGCTGCTTTTCTGAAATGGTGTTTTTGCTTTTTGTTTCTTCCAGTAAGCCTTGTTTCTCTTGACAGTAAGTCTTCTCTCTGCTTCAGCCGATGGCTGTAACAAGTCCCAATACATGTGCAGCGGTTAGAGGCAATTGAGATAGGAGTTGGAAAGGCTGATTGTGCCTTCCAAGCTGATGGCTGACACTGTTCCTGGGAATTTCTGTACAAATGTAATGCGCTACATAAACCTCACATGGATGTCTAGATCTAGTTTATTTTCAAAACTGAAACTGTGCGGTGAATGTAGAGGCCCACACAATAAAAAGCAGAGCCTTTGTTATAAAACATCAATATTTGTCTAAGTGGCAAAGGCCTTGAGATTCTTGAAAAATTAAAATGGCTTTCAAAATGTAAATGCTGTCTCTGAACAGCATCTTTAGCAAATTAGTATTAGTACATTTCTATTGGTATGTGCTTTCTATTTTATATAAAAAATTATTAAAACTGCAGCTACTTAAAAAAAAGGCACATGTATTTATTGCATATTTTTCATGGGGTAGGACACCAGGTGCTGCCCAGCTGGTTCCTCTGCTCAGGTTTCCCAGGCTGATATGAAGGTATTGCTCAGGTTCTGGAGTCTTCGTTCTTTTTTTGTGTTGATACTGGCATAATTTGATTTTAAGTTCTAAGGCTAAAGTCTTCATCCTTTTGATTGCTATCCTCACCTGAGAGAAGTCATAGCAATTCCTTTGTGAGCAAGTTTTAGCGCACACTTCTCTAGGGCCAGTTGAGGAAGTCATATAATAAGAGTTATTCAGGGGACTGACTCTCCCATTGCCTCTGCAACAAGAAGTAGTAATAGTCCAGGTAGGGAGTCCCAGCCGCCATACAGGACACACCCACCACACACAAGGAAAGGGAATTTCCCAAGGAGTTCTTACCTGGGTGTGGAAACCATGCCTGCCATTGGCAGTGTTCCCATCTTACACCTGTTCTTTTCATCTCTTGTGGACAAAGGGAAAGTTTGATTAACTCAGATGGTTTTAAAGTTTTTGGAGAAAAATGGGCAAAAACACATAATGAAGGGCTTGAAAAGAAGTAAATCTTTTCTGAACTTTATTTAGAGCTCTTTTTTTTTTTAAATGGAAAGTTGCATTCTTCCTTACAAGTTTGATCAAGGTTATGGGATGATTATATTCTACCACCTCTAGAATTTGTATACCCAAATATGGGAAATCTTGACT